AAAAAAATGATCTAACCGACAACGGACAGCAAGGCAGAAAATCATCAAAACAAAACACAGTAGACTACACGCCGTCGAGTGAGCACAAATCTGCCCGGGAAATCGAAGAAAAACAACTGGTCAGCGTACCGACTGCCGGTGCGAAGATGTGTTTTTTGCATAGTTCCCCACACGTTTTTGTTGCTTACGGTACCGATTTTTTTTGAAGATGCTTCTAACTAAACGAATTTAAACTGGCCACCAGGACTGTCAGAACACATCCCCTTAAAATTTCAGTTTTCTACCTTTTCTGGCTTCTGAGTTAGCAACTTACCCAAAAAAGAACTCCTCGGGCCCGTAAGTGGGACCCACGCATGCCCTCTGTCTGGGTCTGAGCTCATTAACACCTACGTGGACGGGAAACAGCACTTTAAAATTACAGCCTTCTAGCTTTCCTGGTACCCAAGTTAGCAACTTACCCGAAGAAAAACTCCCCGGGCACGTACGTGAGAACCGCGCATACCCGGGAACTAAGTTTGAACTCATTAAGACCTACGTGTGCGGGGAACACCCCCTAAAACTTTAGCTTCGTAGTTTTTCTGGTTCCCAAATTAGCAGCTTACCCGTAGGAAACTTCGGCGGGCCCGTGCGTGGGTATCACGCGGGTAAGGGCGCCCATTGTAGGTTATGTTCCCAAAGTTTCAGCCTTGTAACTTTTTTAGGTCTTGAGATGAGAAATCGGTACAGACGAACACACAGACAACCCCTCGTCAATATGCGTTTTCTGCATGGCAAAGCTGCAAAAAAACATATAGCACTTACACATTTTTCTTTTAACCTTAAATAAAATATGAAAAATTCACAAAAGGATACGGGGATCACCAGTCGACTGTGCATCACATGCTGCATCTTCGGTCACAGCACCAACAGAAAGACAACACCTGTACGTGCGCTATGAGAAACGATCAGTGATGAAAACAGCAAGCTAAAATCAACGATGAAACACCCTTCGTATTTAGTTTCTACGAGAACGGAGGCACTCGGCCGAATGGTGGTATTGTCAAATGCGAAATGTTTGACGAAAATGTCAACATACTTCTGGTGCACTGAATAAGTTCGCGGCATTGTGATTCAATATTTTTGATATTTTTATGCGCATCTTCGAGGACGCTTTCATGCTCGTGAAGATTTTGACGAAACCACGGACTATCTGAGAGGCAGTCAGCGAATTCCAGCGGACGCAGTACCATAGCGTCTCGTGCGCAAGCAGCAGCAGTTAGGCCAACTTCAAAGCAATCATTGTCGAATCCTACCACACAACATGATTATGAGAGCGCAGCCAGCTCACCACCACCCTGAAAGTGTTCCTGAAAAACGCAATAACATAATTAACTTCTCGACAAACTCTAATTTCATCTATTTCAAGAAGGAGATTGCACCTATGATGAACTCCTGATCGGCAAGGTGCTCACTGCAGGCCGAAAAATGACCGAACTTTCGGCACAAGATGGTGCAAAATCAAGCAATCTCTGAACGGCTAAAACCTTGTCATATGATTGTGTCGTGAAAAAAAACATTGAATTGGTAATCCCTTCAGGGGGCAAAATAAGCGACAACATAGCCAGCAGCAGCAGGCTGAGCATCAGGCAAGAAATTGCTGGGTGCATCGGAAATGGATCAGAGCTAAACTATCACTAAACAGTGCGCTGTAACCAACACTGCTCTGTTTTAGTTTTCTTTAATTTTGCTTTTGTGATTTGTATTACCTCATGCCTCCCCATATACTCTAATGCATAGAATAATCTGTATGAAAAGCATATATATATGTGTCCTGCTTGGTAAATGAAACAGAATATGCGAGGCGCCCCACTGGAACGACCCGATGGAGCAACGTGGATGTGGCGCGCCTAATCAAGCTGCTGTAGATGGTGGCATCGACGTCCCAAGGGACAGCTACTACTCAAAACAGTGAAATATGAATGAACGGCGAAGCGAGAGAACGGGGACGTGGGGGGG